GAATACTCTTGTTAGAACATAAAATAGTGCTGTTGATTAATAGCAATGCATTTTTATTCTCTATGGCTCTCTGCTTTAGCAGGGCCTTAGGGTTTCTCAGGTCAGGCCTAACCTCAAGGCCTTTCTCCATCACTGGAGAGTTGCAAATGATTGTCCTAATGAAGCTGTGTATTTTTATATAAAACTGTGGTAAACTGTGAAGTATTTGCTGCTCAGTATATAATGTTTTGAGCCTGGGAACTGATAGGTTATGTGCATTAAAGCACAGGTGTCTGTGCATGCACACACATATATGTGTTTTTGGACCAAACCCGATTGAAAAACTTAGAGTTTGAATTCTTCTCGTATTTCATCCTGCCATATGAGGTGACTGAAGACAGGAGGAAGAAAGGAGCTTTTCTAGGAACATCTGGAAGAGCTGAATTCCAGACTGAGACTGGGAGTTGCTGCCATCAGGAAACCCAGAGGACACAGCCTTTTTAAATAATGTCTTACACAGGCTGAAATTCAGAGAGTGCCGAGCCCCAGGTGCCATCAGACAGCTTTGCCCACAGCAGAAGTGATAAAATAAATCAATTGATAAAATGTTGATAAAATAAATTAAATATCTGAGTTGCAGTTCTTGTAAGCTCATTAGTTTCTGAACAATGGCTCTGTATTTGCAGCCTCTGCAAAGAAATAGAAACAAATAACAGGGTTTAAGGTAGAGAGGGATGTGTCTATTCAGATTTCAAACCTGTTACTCATTGCAGTAACGTTCATTTTCCAAGGGATGCTGTGCTGCCTCGAGAGCAGTCTCTGAGTGGGCTGATCTTGCTCTTTAAGGATGAACTTCAAATGTCTTACTCCCACCTAGTGGAAAGAACATGCTCGTGGCTCCCTGTCACGAAAGGGAACTGGAAAAGAGATGGAGCCTCTTTTTATATCTTGCATGCAGAATTAAACACGGGGTCACCCCATTTTAGCAGACAGCTAAAACGCCTTTCCCTCGGCCTGCAGAGCTCCTGTTCCCTGTGTGCACACCCTTGCCTGAGGAGGGAGAGCCCTGCCATGATCCTTCCAACAGACTCCTGAACCTCATCACCTGGGACCTGGAGCCTGACGGGGCGCTGGAGCTGTGCCCCTGTGCCGGGGGGCTGAGCTGCCAGCCCCACAGGTGAGCACAGAGCGGGGCAGCTGGGGAGGGGGCTCTTTCTGTGCCCAGCAGCTGCAGAACTCTCATTCTGCCTCACTAGAAAAGGTTGTGACAGTTTTTGCTTGGTCCCTCACAGATGTGCCTAATTGAGTTTGGCAGCACATGAATCCAGTGTGAATTAAGTGTGGGAATTAATGAGGCTGGTACTGCTTTTCAATCAGGCAGTGCTAGCAGCTGCTGAAATGCATCATTCCAATTTCATTCTCTGCATGCAGTCCCTGTCCACCAACTCTCTATGTGAGACTGGGTTTCTGTCAGATTTTTGCTTGTTTTAGAATGTAAGATATGTTAAAGGAATTTTAATACAAACTTGTCATGGGTGATGCTTTTAATATTTCTTTTGAAGGAGTTATTTGTATCGTCAGCAATTTCATTGGCAGAAAGTGAGATCCTTTCAGTTTTGCTAAAAGCATTTTTACAAAACCTATGTTTTCTATGAAATAAACACTCCAAATTTTCTCCTACACTTCCAGCATCATACTAACTTCCAACAAGGCATCATAGCTGGGATAGAGATGCAGATTAATATTTCTCTCTTCTCTGTCCAACTCTGTGTTTTTTCATGCTTGAAAAGGAATTGGGTAACATTTTGTTTCATAAATGTCATCTAAGGAAGCAAGCAGAGCTGATTCCATCCCATCCCATCAGCACCAGAATTGTTGTTAATGTGCTGTTAACCTCAGGGAAGGTCTGTCAGCAAATGTCAGCTCTAGCAAGAACAACGTTTCGGATGAGGATACAGAAACACAGAAATTAATTGGCGTGTGAATATAGCTGAACTGTCCAGAAGTTTCTATGGGAATTTGAAGATTCAAGTGACTTTTTTTTGTTGCCTGTTGGTTTTGAGGGCCGCTGCTCTTGTTTAGCAGGATCAAACATCTTATGCTGTTAGGATCTCTGTATGTGGAAATCACATTTATAACTCACCAGCTGTCAAGCATGTAAGAATCAGGTGCTTGTGAAGTCAGCTGGGGTAGATCCATTGTGCATTTAACGTGTTTTCCTATGGGGAGGGAATGGAGAATTTCACAGACAGCAGAAGAACACAAAACGATGCCCTGTGTGACCAGATGTGCCTTTTCCCAACAGCCACAGCACCACATCTGTGTGCCAGCTGTCTGCCAATGAAACACAGCACACTGAAAAAGAAGATCCCCTGATCATGGATGAGATGCCCTTTCTCAGCTTGATCCCTCAAGATCTCCTCTCTGATTATGAGGAAAGCAGTGTCATCCAGGAGGTGCAGAGAGAATTAGAAAGCCTGGAGGACCAAGCAGGTTGGAAGGCTGAGCCTGAGGCAGCTCAGGAGCTGGTTTTGGGAGATGAAATCTAAAGCCCAAAGCTCCAGTTTAGTTAGTTATTTCTAGGTTTATTTTTTGTTTAGTACCTTGCTTGTATGAACCCTGAACACACACTACTGGATAGAAGTGCAATAAACAAGGTCTTCAAGGAGCATCCTTCTCTGTGCACCAAACCTGCATGTCCCTGTGGAGTTCATGCTGCTGTGGAATTCATTCAGTGCCTGCCTTCAAACCTTCTGCCAAATGGGAACCGTGGGAGTGCTCTTCTGGATTTGTACTTTCCTCTTGTATGTCAGAAATAAACTTCTTTGTACTTGTACTCATTAAAAAATACATGCAAGCATCAATTATTTCAAGTTATTAGAAACTATACAAGTGATTTTTGAGTATGGATGTTCAGAGCTGTTTTATTTCTCTGGGGAAAGAACCATCTTCTCTGACACTGTTGCAGTCATAAATTTTAAGGAATTTTTAAAGGAATTTAAATTTTTTTCTTTAGAATTATATTTTTAATATACTTCAAAGGCACAAATCTGTGCATGTTACAAGATGTGATTATTTTTACGATCTTAAAAGGTCATTGATTTAAAAAATCAATAGCCAGCTAAGAGTAAAATCTGACCCCCCAAACTTCCCAAGCTCCCAGCTGTCTCACCACTTTGCTACCATGGCTCCTCCACTATTAATGGTTTTCTGCTAGATTTCTCCATCTGTTGTTGCACATGGTAAAACAAGATGTGAGGGTCCAGCCAAGGAACTTTCCATGGTGCTTCTTCCCAGATAATCCCAATTGCTCATGTCTAGTTTGGAACAGCAGACCACCAGTAACCAGAGCAGGTGTAGCACTGTGCTACCAACCTGCACAGCTTTCCCCACTTCTGGTGTAAGAAGGCTTTTCAATAAATTCCTTGGGTCTCAAAACTAATAATGAATAGCCATTGTCATTATAAACAGGGAGGATAGTATTTCATTGTAACTATCTTAGTTGTGATTTAAGGATTCTACAACCCATTCTCACACCAACACACACACACACACACACACACACGGACATCATCTCTGAGAGTTCACTGGGTCTACCCTCCCTTTCTATCCCTAATAAAATTATTATTATTATTACATTGTGCTTTAGACAGCCCCTTCTCCCCAAAGAGAAGGAATTAAATGCCACTTTTATTTTCCTGTTTCAAACCACATCCATGAGAGCAGTAACTCTCCGTAAATACTGCCCTCTTAAGGACACTATTCTCCTTTCAGGTTCTTGGCGCTGCCATCCCCAGATTTGATCTCTACATTTTTGCCTCTCCAAATACCTGAGTTTGAGGAAAATTCTTGATCCATTTCTCTCTTCCAACAGCTCTGAGGATGCTTTACCAGTCTCTACCTGTGGTAATTGGTAGTTCAGTGAAGTTCCCTACCCAGGGGATGGCATTTCCCTCTCTGCTCCCTTTGCCCCCACTTCCAACCTTACCTGTGTTGGCCAAGAGGCAGCNGCCTTGCAGCCCTGCTCTCGGGATGTGGAGTGCTGTGGGGAGCAGCTCTGCGTGTGGGGCCAGTGCAGGAGATCCATTTCCAGAGGGGAGAACGGCACCATCTGTGAGAGCCAGCACGACTGCAGCCCTGGCACCTGCTGTGCTTTCCACAAAGGTACCCAGGCTTTGTCCTGCCCAGCTCAGCGTGCAGGGCTGTTGGTGTTCGGCTCTTCTGAGCCCAGGGGTATCGAATTTGCATCTGACTCCATTCAGAAGGTTAATTAATTACTTTAGTGTACTATATTATTCTATACTATATTACATTATATTACATCTAAACTGAATCTGCCAAGCACTGACTCTGCTCCCAGTGCCCAGAATCTCGTGGCTGTCACCCACAGTCCCCACACACACACACACACCTGGCCCTGACAGGCCAAGGGAACAGAACACCATCCCTGTGGGTGAACAGTCTCCACATTGCATTCTGCTGTGGCACAAACACAGGCGTAGCCAGTGAGATAAGAATTGTTTTTCCTTTCTCTGAGGTTCAGAGAATGTGACTCCCAAGAATATTCTTGCCCTGCTTTTCCCTGTGGGGCTGCTCAGGGGAAGTGGTTAAATCTCTGCAGAATCAGGAGGTTGTTGTCCCTTGGCCTGTGGAATGCCCTGGGTTAACTCCATTGGAAACCTTGACAGAATCAGGAGTGAGAAGCAGCCTGGTGGGATGCATGCTGCTGAAAGCAAAGCCTGCTGCACACTAGAGATGAGACCAGCAGCAGAAGCACAGAAATGTACATTTCTAAGGGGGAGTTCTGTGTCAAATTTACATACAATTACTGTGGAGAGCCTGGTTCAAACATGGCTTAAAGAAAGAGGCCATGAAGGTACTCAGCTAAGGGAAAAATAAAAGGCAGCTGTAAAGCAGCAGTTCCCAGGCTTGATCCTGTAAATAATTAAGGTTCTCAGCCACCTTTATATAAACAACTAGATTCTCAGACCGTCCTGTCCTTGGCTGCTCTGGGAACAGATATGAAGGTTTTGAGAACTTTTCATATCACGGTGAGAACACTGATCTTGGTTTCAATAAACAAACGTCAGGTATTGTAAACAAAAGGAGGAGCTGAAGTTTTCTCTACAGCCTATCAGGAGCTCGGGTTTTGCAATATGCACGAAGTGAATTAACACTGTTATAAAAGGTGCCTGGCTGATCAATAAATTGGAGTCAGATGCTGACCAACAAAGGTGGTCGCTACCTTCACTTCAACAAATTACCAAAAGTGATAGGATTAGAAATGTGCAGAAGGAATTAATGAGCTGGCTG